TGGACAATCATTTTCATGGGACTTGCAATTCTGTGCACTTGTTCCACTAACAAGCATCATCTGTATTGGATGCAAGAAATACAAAACTCTTCTGGCAAAATGGCCTGGGAGTAACTTCTGCTAGGGAAAATGCAATTTTTCAAGCTGATTTTCATTTATGAAGAATGAACTTCAAGCCAGTTAACTCCTTTTGAGATAAACATGTGGTTCAAAAGCCACATACAACAGGCAGCTTGTACCTGGGGATTAAAAGGATGTAGCACTCCATGTGCCAACACAAAATGCTGCCAGGCTTGTTGCACAGCATATGCATTGTACCTCTATGTCCATTTCTTGCAAGCCATATGTGGTTTGCATGGCATAACTTGCCATCCCTGATATGTGGTCAGATGTTTACGAAAATACAGTGGAATTCTGTTTCCTAATAAACATGAAAACAATTGGAGTGTAATCCAGAATTTTGCTGTATATGGTGGGTTCAAAAAACTTTGTAGTAAAACATTGATGAGTCCTACCTTTAAACGCTCTGTGAAGCTGTTATTTGGTGTGGAATGGTGTTGACTTTTTTCTTGAGAGACTAAGTTGAGTTTTGTGTACTATATGTAAGAAAAATTTGATTAGGGTTTCTTGATAAAAGAATCTTTATTTCCCTTACAAAATAAAATAACTGCCCTGTTTTAGATCCTTGTATTATTACCCTAGGATTTTTAATAATGAGAATTCAATATAGTAACGCTTTGTATATTTAAAAATGCATTGTTTCTTCTACTTTAATTTGGCCATGGGATTTTCTTCCATTAGTTGTGTTTTTATCTTCATTAGTTGTGTTTTTATCTTCAACAGAAGTTTTTGGGCCCTGTGCATTGTTTCTTCTACTTTAATTTGGCCATGGGATTTTCTTCCATTAGTTGTGTTTTTATCTTCAGCAGAAGTATTTGGGCCCTATAAAAAGGGAAATACTTTGCATGTGTTACCATCCTTACTGGCATACTGCCAATACAGACAAAACCTGAAAAAATGTGAAGAGAAGTGAATCTGTTAATAGCTTCTATTAATAGCTTAGAGAGTTGCAGAGTGAATTAGAGAGCCTCTGGACTCATAATTTAGAAAAAAGACATATCATGTGTGGGTTTGCCTTGGAGGTTTCTTGCCTTTTATAAAGTATTGATAGTTTCCAAAGGACATTTATGCCTAATGCTGTAACTGCTTTTAGCATATCCTTGCAGTCCATGAGAAAAGACCAAAGTTTAATAGCTGGGTTTGTAAGTTGGGTTCTCTTCCAATCTTTGTCATATACTTCCTTTACCCTGGGCATGTCACTCCAGTCTGCCTTTGGGCTGTTGTAGTAGCAACTTGTTTTAGTGTCCTTTTCAGTATTTCCATCTGCAGCCTTACTGAGTGGCACATATATTTATACATTCTTTAAAGACACATGCTCTTCAGTTGTCATTGCATGATCATTTAGATTTTATTTGGTAGGAGTTAATGCAAGAAGTAGTTTTTTTATTATGGAGACAAGGTTTAAAATCAAATCAAAACATAAAATGAAAACTTGAATTCTGTAGGAAGAAAGGTAAAGAGGGGGAGAAACATAGAAGTCAGAAAAGATTCAGAATGGAAATAAAATTTTGAAATCACCACATCAAAGTGGGAAAAGGCAGCAGTTTGATCTCAATACTTAAAAGGAAGTGGCAAAGTTGTAATTGTCTGGGGTTAAGTACATATCTAAATGCCAAGCTAGTTATTTCTTCTCCTTCTTACCTTTCAAACTTCCGTGCTTTCACCTTGATTTATATATATGATATTTTTTTGTCAAAAAGCTTTCTTTTAATTTAGAGCATTAATCCTGCAAGCACTTGCATGTGAACAAATATGTTGACCTCATACAATAAATTATGAATTCCGTTTAGCAGCCAAGTGCACATAAATATTTGCAAAATTAGCAAAATATGACATCTGTATAGAAGTGCCTTAAAAAAAAAGTTGATAAAGCAAGAAGCCATTTTCTGTTGATAGTGTATTTCTTTAGGTTTTTGGGGGGTTTTGCTGTTGTCGTTTTTTTTTTTGTTTTGTTTTATCTCTGCTCTTTGATTTGTTTCACATGCACTGGGAAACCATTCTGGCCCATATCCCTTAAGCACTGGGCTAAGAGCAGTAATGGAGTTTCACAGTTTTATCCCTGCCTTTATGTGGCAAAAGCAACAGAATTTTTCCCTCTTCTCCTGCATTCTCTAGTGTGTTGCCCTGTGACTCTAAATATGGGAACTTCCATGTCATAATAGGGGAATATTTAGAGTTTCCTCTAAAATATTGCAAAATTGAAAATGGATTAACTCTTACTAGAGGTAATCTTCACTGGGACCCGAGTAGGCACAATCAACTCTTTCCATCCCGTTTTTTTTGCCACATAGAGGACAATGGAGAATCAAAGATCAAGAAAAAGGCAGTAGAAAGAGAGATAATAGATTGGAAGGAGCATAAATCGGGGGGTTTACAGAATGAGAGTACTTTCCACTTTGAAGAAAGAAATTTGAAGGTAGGGCAACCACATATTTACAAATAAGAATTGAAGGACTTTGATAACACGGTGAATTACCAATTAGCGTACTACTAATTGCTAACGATTGCAGCACTCTTAGGATAAGATGGGAGCCCATCATCCAGAAGACAGTACCTGAGTAAAAATCCAGATGGTTTATATCATTATTGGAGAATAAATAATTTATTGTGCCCATTTCTTGCTTTTAGTAATTTTTCACATCACACTTTCGTGCTCTACTTTTTCCATGTACACACTGATGTGGGGTATATTATTTGAATTCCTCTCCATCTTTTCTTTGGGGACTGTGACAAACTCACATTCAATAACTTTATCAGTCCTGTTGGGTTATCTATCAGCTGGCAGTGGTTGGTTGGTCTTTCCACCTGGAAAATGGAAAGCAGAAATGAGAGAGAAGTTAATTATGTAACTTTATTCTTTGAACTGATTTGTCTCAACATGGTTATTACAGATGGGACTCAAGGATGTGAACAGCAGATTTATTGTACCTTAATCAATGTAACATGATGACTGGAAAATGTAAGAATCAAACCCATTGTGAATGAAACATTTTTGAGCATGCATGCTGTATTGTCCTCTCAAGTAAAATCAAAGTATGCTTTATGAAGGTTCTAGAATGAATTGGTTTACAGTTAATATTGTGATTGTAGAAAGAAGATTAGAGATCAGTTTGTTTTCCATTAGGTTGTCATTTGTGACTTTGAAGAGGCAAAGGGAAATATTTTGCATGACCTGGCTTTTGTAGCACAGATTCATTGCAGTTAGACTTGTAACTGCTGTACAGTGGCTGTATCTCCTGCTCTGTGGGACTGCGCTGGGTCTCACTGCACCTGCATGCATGTTGGAGTTGTAAGGACAGGAGCTGCAAATATTTTCAGATAAGTATTTAATTCAGCTAGTGACTCTGCCATCTTATTTGGGTTGGCTGATCAGCAGACAATTCCATTTTGTTTTTTTCCTTTTAAATGTAATTTTTGTTTCTGTGTTTAGAATGGTGATTTTTATCGGGTTGTTTCAAAGACAGAAAACGTGTCTCTTAACCTGCTTTAAAGGGGTGAATCTCAGTGCAAATAAAGGTAGTTGTCCAAAGTCACACAGTAGCTCTTCTGGCCGGACAGAGCTTCACCAGTATCTCCCTCCATCTCTCACCTCCTTTCCCACTGCCCCATCTCTCCTCCCTCCTCTTCTTCACCTGTATCCTGACTTTTTTGTTTTCTTTGCTAGCTCTAGAAAGCTTTCATTCTATCTCAAATTCATGGTTACTTTTCCACTTCTATTTGCATATGTGCCAGCAGGAATACATCTTTAGGATGGGGAGGTACAAAAACCCCCTCCTTTGCCGCTTCTGGGAACAGGTGGTGATTACTGAGGAGTTGATTGGAAGAATAAAAACCTTTAAGGAATTTCAGTTATTTGATTTCCTCCATTGCAAAAGAATTTTATTTACATCTGCATCAAGTTCCTGTCATAATGTTCGTTGATTAATCCTATTGAGACAGCCAGTACACCTCCTGGCTTTCAACACATTTACACTGCTTTATTGGAGTATAGATAGATGTGATGTATGGATACTAGAAACCATTGGCAGTGGTACAGGAAGTTTTGTTTGCTCTTTTTATGTGTTTTAAAAATAATACTGTGCTCAATTAGATGAAGACAATATCCGTAATGTGTTTCTTGAGGCAGATGGTAGATGAGAGAATAAAATGTGTTTAATTTCTAAGGGGAGGAGAAATGAATCAACAGAATGGAAATCACAAGCTTTTCTTTTTCTTTTCAGTATTTACTATGAAATTCAAATTATAATACATCCTGCCATTTTATGTCTACTGCTTCATATAATCAGGCCATAATGTAAAGTAGTTTAATTGTAAAAATGGACTTTTGGTTGCTGTAACCATTTAGCTGAAGTTTAGGGTTTTAAAGTTAAGATTTTAGTTAAACGCTTTCATTATGTGTGACCTAAAATACTACATAAAGGCTGCACTTCATTAGACTGTTTAAAGTTTCTGGAATGTTTTGTTTCAAAGAAGAAAGAGATGACATAGCTAAGGCTGAATCGGTGTAATTTCTGGAGAGGAAATGAGTTCTAGTGCATTTGCAAATGCCACACTGTGTGAAATGCGTGGGTGAACAGGAGACAGTTAGTTACCTTCAGTGCTACAAAACACAACATCACAGAACTTGGTGTTTATAAATCTATTTCCTTTTTCACAGCCTTGGATGACTTTCAGACTCCTTTTCTCACACTTAAGAAAGCTAGACCTTTTGTAGTGACGTTAATAGGATTGCAGGTTTTCTCCTGTGCATCTTTTATCAGAGACACCCAAGGAGGCTGGAATACGTGCTCTGTCCTAGTGTTTAGGAGTACTCATGAGAGTCAGCTCTCCCCTCCTCTACTTACAGAGCGATGTTTGAACTTTTCTTGCTGGTATTTCAGGACATCCAAGCTGAGATTGATGCCCACAATGACATCTTTAAAAGCATTGATGGAAACAGACAGAAAATGGTGAAAGCCTTGGGAAACTCTGAGGAAGCTGCTCTGCTCCAGCACCGGCTTGATGACATGAACCAGCGCTGGAATGACCTGAAGGCGAAGTCAGCTAACATCAGGTGAGTAATGAAAACATCGAGGTGTGATGGGGCACGGTTCCTTTCCTCTAAGAGGCTTGACAAATATGACCTCAGCATTGAAATGATCTATCTGTTCCCTTTCATGAAGGACCTCTGAGTAGAAATATAAAAACTTGGTGAACTTTTTCACCAGGTAGTCTTAACTACTTGTTTTATCTTCAGAGCTTCACAGTTGTAACTTGCTGACCTTGTACCAAAATTTCAGAAAGTGCATTGAGTCTTTCCTTATTGAAAATCAATAGCAGTTTCCATGAAATAATTTTGCAAGTCTGCCATGACTTTGAGGAGAAATCAGGAGTTTGTTGATGGTTTTGTTTTTACAAATTTTTTGGTTTGAGATTACTAAGTTAATAAAACTTGTATCTTAAGTATCTTGATCCATTTAATTGGTTTTGAATTATTAATTCAAATTAATAATTAAGTTGCTGTCATTCAATTGAGAAATTTTTTAAAGTACTTGTTAATCAAGGAATGCATTTTACAGTTTTTTGACCCTATCTGTGCCAAGCTCAAGTGTGGTAATTGTTAAATCTTTATGATGCCACTTCTGAAATAGATACTGCCATATTCATTATTGAATTAAATTCTACATGAAAATTAATTACATAGAGAATAATTTCTAGAGCTTTTAATTGCAACCACTTGCTTGTTGGTTTGAGAAAACTGTTCTTTTAAAACAATGTTAAACATTCATATGAATATTCCAAAGGCGAGGAAAATGAGCCAACCTTGAAATTCAGGCACAAGAGTTTGAATGAGTGAAATAGATGGGAAAATGTCACATTTACTTTTTATGTCCACTTATCCCATCACCAACCTTCTAAACAGTTAAATGAAACTGTTAAATCAGATCCTTGAAAGCCCTTGAAGAACTTGAACCCAAAGAACCAAGCAGTTTGGTGTGGGGGCTTGCAGAGACTGACTCCATCACATACACAATTTAATGCAAGAGCTGTTGGACTTGAGTTGTTTTGAGCTCTATTCACAAGTCCATGTGAGAGAAAGACAAAAGCATACTCTTAAAGAAATAGCTTATCAGTTGTGGAGTCCTAGAAAGAACTGCTGGGTTGCTTGGCCATTCCTGGGTTTGGTCATAATTTGGGAGAAATGGATGGCCATGAAAAAGGGCCTTCAAGCCACTTATGCTGTACAGCTATGAGTTCCAAGGCTGTAGTACAGAAAGACTGGTTGTACTAAGATTGTATTCAGAAATTCACATTTTCTGAATACAGACCCATCTTTTCTGTTCTTTACATACATTGGGCAGCATTAATGTTGCTCTGCTGGTACCTGCTGTGCTGCAGAGCCACATGCCACTGGAGATCAAAATGTAAGATAGGCAAGACAGAGAATACTGCTGCAAATCTAAGAAAAGTAAATTAACCTTTCAAATCTCAGTCGCTACTGAAAAGAGTATAGTATTTCTGAGTTCATGTATTTTGTTTTGCTCTTTGATTGCAATTCACTTTTCTAACTTGTGCAGGAGTCCTGAAAGCCTTCATAGGGGAGTAACAAAGCACAGAAGTCTGTTTGCCTTCAATTTTTGCTTTCTTGGGATATCTTTTAACAAGGATGAATTGGAAAGCAAAATTGTATGGATGACTCTAGTGAGAACAACATGTAACTTTTAGATGCTAGGACTGAAGAATGAAAAAGCTGATTGTTTCATAACGGGTTTTAGCTTGGCATAGTGCTTCTAAATGAAAGTTTCTCTAGGAAAGCTTTTTAAAATATTTTCAGGTATGTGTACATTCCGATTATTCTGATTTTTAATTGCTGAACGTACTGCTCTCTCAAAGAGAGACAGCATGAGTTTTTCTCATCACTTCAGTCCTCAGAGCTGGTGTTGCTAGTCACTGTGCTGAGTTTACTTCTTTGCTACTGTAACTAAAGGGAGTTCCAAACTGGAAAAGCAGTGCTGTTCTGACATATTTTTAAATGCACGGAAGTTGCTTAAACCTGTAATTGGAGTTTCTATGATGCTGCACCTCTCTCCTTGAAATTGTAGACTTAGGCTGCTTTCTTTTTCTCTTTTATCTTATTCCCAGGAAGAAAACAAAGCTGCAGACTTGTGGGGGTCTGCCTTGCCAAATATTTAGGGGAGATTCTTTTCTCCTGGGGCAAGAGGTGAGGGGATGTTGGTGTTTGGGGAGGGTAGATGTAAAAGTATGGGAGAGAGGAAAAGGAGTTTCTCTCTGTTTCTCTATATTTAGACCACCCACAAATCTTATTTTATTCCGTGTGTTCCCTTGTCACTCAGCAGGAAAAATGCTACCTCCATAGCAGAATCAGGTCTCCAGCTGTGAAGAGAGCCTCTCAGGGTCAACAGAAGGGGAGCTGGGTCAGAGTTGCTGTTTTCTGGATGATTTTATTCAGCATGGGGAGGGGCAGGGAGGGTTCCTCTCAGTCTGGTCAGTTGGATAGGAGCATCTGTGTTCTTCAGATTCATCCAGGATTCCCTTAGGAGTGCTTTTGCATACCAGGTGGTTGCTGCTGGTGAATATTTGTGCTCCAACTCATGCTCAGAAGCAATCATCTATAACAGACCTCTGTTTTGATCAGAGCAGATTCTTAAGCCATCACTGGGCCTAGTAAATCCCTGAGTTTGCCAATTCTTTTGTCAAATGAACACAGACACCTGAAGCTTTGTTTGCAGGTTTTTTTATCAGTAGAGCACCAATTCCAAAACAAAGGCCAGAAATCCTGAGGGAGAGAACAGAAAAGCCCAAGAAACGTTTCAGAATTTCTGCATAGTTTATCTTCTGTCTCTCATAATGTCTGTATGACACATGTAAATGTGATACTGAAGCTTTACACTGAAATGCAATTTAAAGCATATCTTGACTTGCTTGCTCCTGTGTGGCATTTGCTTTGAATGGGATTTACTGAATGTGTGTTTATTTGCTCCCCAGGAGAACTGAATGCTTGTGTCTGCTCTTCAGCTGCTGCATCTTGCTTTCATTTTCAGTATTGCTTTCGATAAGATTAAAAGGATAATATTCTGGAAAACTCCAGGCAGATGTGATGAGTTTTTCCCTATGTATTTTTTTCTCTTTTTAATGTCTTTCTTTGGGAGGTTAGGTCACTTTGTGCTCAGTGAAAAATTTTGAAGTCACTTCTGGTGTGGTCCCTTTCCTCTCCTCCCCTTACTGCTCTACCTCTGCAGGATTAACTTGCACTGGACTTTGACCATGTGCTTGCTAGTATTATTTTTGGTATTGACATTTATTTGGCCTGCACACAAGTACTAAGTGGTGAATTACAATGCATTTAATCCTGTAATATATTCAATATCATTCACATTAATATCAGATTAGTTGTTTTACTATTAATATTATTGCACTGTATGATACAAAGTTGTGAATCACCCTTAAATTGTCCTTTATCTAGTTACAGGAGTTTTCCCCCTCCTTACAAAGCTCCAATTTATTTTGCATACAAGAATTCCACTAAATAATTAGAGCAGAATCTTGAAGCCTCAGAGAGTGCCAGTTTTGAGAGGTGAGAGCTGCTTATATGTGCTAGAAACAGTAATAAGTCATGATGAATAGAGATTTCACTGTCAAAAGTACAGAAAGCTATAAATCTGAACATCTTCATTGTAGTTGCTACTAGAAATTCTCAAAGATATAGCTATCTTTTTTTATCAATCAGAGTCTAATGGCAACACTAAGTTCAAATGTGGGTTGCCTTGGCTTAGATGAGAGGGCGGTGTCTCTTCTGCCTGATTAGTAAGAAATATAACTGTTTTAACTTCAAGAAAGAAGGGCCAGTTCTGAGTACCTGAAAAAATACCAGGAGAGTGGTGACAATACATTCCACTCAGAAGCTGCTGGCCTGCACACCAAGGCCAACACAGCAGCTTGCTTGTGCTTCAGTGCAGGGTGGGATGCTGACTCTGCTGTTTAGGCCTGAGCTACCAGCAGCTTTTTGCAATTCAGTGTTGAGATAAAAGTATCAGTGACAGTAATTAGGGACAGTAGAAACCATAACACACAAAACTGTAGGCAATAAAATGTTGCTTCTGGCAACTACTTACATTTCATAATTTTTCCCAAGTAGTTACCTAAGTGCTTTCCTTCATAAGAGTGATGAATAGGTTCCTCTTCCTAAAGGTACTTGGCCTATCCTTTTCAGAAATGTGGGGTTTTCTTTCCTTTTTATTTCCATCCTTATATACGGTGCTTTCCTTCATAAGAGTGATGAATAGGTTCCTCTTCCTAAAGGTACTTGCCTATCCTTTTCAGAAATGTGGGTTTTTTTTTCCTTTCTATTTCCTTCCTTATATACATTTACTTGACTGCTTTATTGATTGACCTGTCCTGTATTGATACACCTATGCAGTGTATTGCTGGGAGATCCCAGTGTGGCCAAACCTGAGCTTGTGTTGGAGTTAACCTTGCAGCACATAATCTCTTCAATATCTTCAGATGTTGCTGTATCAGCCTCAAACATTCACACTAATGCCATTTGAAATGAAAATACAAGACAAGCCAGGTGAAAGTTTCTAGTGTGAGTCACAGTGAATAAAAAAAAAAAAAATAACCAACAATGTGCAAAATAGGAAAGGGGATAGTTTACTTTGTTCATCCTTCAGAAGCAGGGGAGAAACTTGCAGAACTGCTGTCAGACTGAAAATCATTCAGCTCTACTCCCCCATCTGTGTGAAGAAAGAAACATTTTTTTTGCTGATATAAATTAGTACATGCTTGAATTATACCATTACATAGAATGACTGCAGTAAAAGAGGAGTCCCTGTTGAAGATTTCTATGCATCTTTTAGGCACTGCAGGGAGAAGACATGAAGTCAAGGTATTTCTGAAAATTATAGAAAAAGATATTTGGAGTTTGACTTTTTTATTTGCGAATTAAAGTCAGGAACAGATTCACTGTATTAATTGTCTAGCAACTCAAAATCGATGAAAGATGATTTTTTGAGTAACCTGTGTCACTGACTGATATGTTCAGCAGACAGGCAATTTGCTGTTGATAACTACTAGTAGAACACATGGGATTTTGCTTCTGGAGAGTCAAGGTCCTGTCATGAAAGAGTTCCATTTTGCAGTGCTTAGCTCACAAAATGATGCTTGTGCTTGTTGCACAACAGTTGCGGAGTCACAACAAAGCACAGGAATTTTTTATGTTGCTTGGACATGCAGTGTTCAAGGTTTTAGATTAATTGAATCACAGGGATGTATTTGTCTGTGTTCCCCTGTTTCTCCTCTGTTTATTTTGATTTGCTGTGCAAAATGTTCTGAAATAGATTTTTTTTTTTAACACAAAGTTGCTTTGCAGTTAAACACTTGAAACATTCTCATCTTACTGATGGAGTAATTTTGTTTTCCCATGCTGGTTTTGCCATTCAGGGCTTTAAAGATGCTGTTGTGCTTTCTCACAGGGCTCACTTGGAGGCCAGTGCAGAGAAATGGAACAGATTGCTGACATCCCTGGAAGAGTTAGTCAAATGGCTGAATGCAAAAGATGAGGAACTGAAAAAACAAATGCCTGTTGGAGGGGATGTTCCAACATTACAGCAGCAGTATGACCACTGCAAAGTAAGTTGCTTAAGTTTTATGGATATGCTACTGTGAATTACAGAATGAAGCAAATATATGTACAGGAGAAATGACGAATGCTTCCTAATGACTAATTTCTATAAAAAAGCTCTAGGTCTCCACCCATTTTTCTTACACGCCTTGCCCAGTAAAGCACAACTAAGATATGCTATAAAATTTTATCTAAAGAATTTTTGAGACGTATGTTCAGTCTAAACACTTTTTTTTCTTTACTATTCTTTGATATTTTTGGAATCCTGATGGGTGAAACTGTTATTTTACTCTAAAAGTTAGGGAAGGTATGCAAAAGTAAGAAGTGACCAAGAATCATGAAAGCAAAGATGAATGTAAATTCAGTAAAATTGTGAATAGTGCCTTTCTAGATGTTACTAAACTCACCAGTGATAGCAGCCTCCTACCCATGCACATTTACACTGCAAAGATGACTCAAAACTATTTTAGAGAACTCAAATTTTTCTGTGCCTTGTACTGTTGCAACATAGCATGATGTTCTAGTTTTCTGGTTTAGCTTGTCCTGTTCTGGTTGGTACACGATAGACTATTAATTCCTAATTAGTTCTTGACAATAAAAAAGTCATTTGCATCTGCATTTCGTCATTCATGCATGTAGAGTCTATCTTGTCAACTCTGATCAGTAATCAAGTGAAGATGGTTTTGCCATTGGAAAAATTCAATCTAGTAAAGCTAGTTCCATCTCATTTGTTAATCTGTATGGTGCAAACAGGGAAGGAGCGCAATGCAGCTTTATATAGTTAATTGCATGATAAATATGTTCCCCTCTGCCAACTATACTGGTGTCTTTTCTGCTGTGGTGTTCGGTGAACGCAAAATTTGAGTTTGGAAAAACTTACTAACATAGAAATACTTGGAATACTGTGGGGAAGTACAGAAAATGTAGTCTGTCATGAGCAGCACTTTTGCATCTTCACTCCAAAATAGAAGTGCTTAAGGAAATCTGCATACATTTCTTCTTAATTTAGTATTTTAAAGTAAATTTATTAACATAAACTCAGGAACTTTGTTTCTTGAGAGCTCATCTCTTCCTAATCCACTTAAAGCATCCTGCTCTGTTTGTAGGCACATCTGCTGTGATTCTTTTTATAATGATCAAATGGTGGATTACTAGTGCCAAAGAGCAATAAAAGGCTGAAACAGAGCCAAATATCATTCTGAAGGAGGTCAGTGGAAGGTGGTAGACATCTACAGGTCATTTTCTAAAGGCTTGTTTGTGTCTTCAGTAGATTACAGTATGTGCATGATAGTACTAGTAAGTGCCTCTCATCTGAAGAACTCAAATTGATTAATAAAACTGGGGCTTTATTTTGAAGTGGAAAAGTTTAGTAGTAATGGTGCATTTGGACCACTAGTGAACTGCAGCAGTATGAAGGAGGGAGCACCTCTGGGTTGTTTAATCCTTGCCCTTATGTTTAAAGAATAATTGATATTTTGTTATGTGTCAAGGTTAAAACTCTAGTGAGTGCATTCGGGAGCTTTTGGAGATTATTCTTTCATTTTTCAAAAAGGCAATTTTCTTGCAATGTCACAGTGAGTATTGGATATAGTTGCCTGAGTCAAGTATTTAATATGAGCTGTATTAATGGTCTGCAACAGCATGAAGTTAAAGCAACCCTGAGTATCACTTTATTTTTTATATACCTATGCCAGCAAAAGCACTGTGTACACTTGCAGATATTTCTTAGATGATGTCTGGATGACTATTTCCAAACAGTTATTTTTTAGGGGAAATCAGGAGATTCCCATATATTTTGTAATGATACCGTGCTATACCAAATACCAATTATTAGCAGGCAGCATTTCACATTCTGTTGAAGTGTTGCTCATTAGCTATTGCCAGAGGAGGGGAGCTGAACCACAGCTGTCTGTTGGGTTGATTCTCATGGCAATGCTTCACTGTTTCTAAGCAGGGGCTGTTCATTCCTTGCTGAAGCTACAGTTTGCTAATAAACTTGATCAAGCTGAAAAGTTGTGGTTTTTTTCAGGTAGAAAGTGAAAACTGAAGGGGGAAAGAACCCCAAAAAGCCAATAAAACAAAACCCCAAACCTGTTAGAAGTCCTGCTTTCTCAGCAAGGTCAAATGATTGATTGATGTAGTTAGGATGCTTGATGAAGTGTCCTTGGTTGAGGAGCACAAGTTTTATTCCTGTGATATTTTTTTTTCTTTTCAAAAGATTATGCCAAAACTGCCCTTTCAGTGGATTTTTTATAAATTTTATGTAATTCCATGTTGTCAGTTACTCTGTGCATTGTAGTGTGGGTACTTCTGGCTGGTATCGTTTGCTTTGCCTTTAAGGTGTTCCAGTTAGAATATCCTGTTAAGCTGGGAATTTTCAGTGTTTCATGTTTGAGGTGTAACTGTGTCAGATGAATATTGCCGAGATAGCTCCAAAGGATACTCCCTTTATTCCACTTCTCATCACCAGCTGTCCTGGTACTTTTTAAAATGTTTCTTTGCCTGTGCTTCTTCAAGTGTTAAACCTCCTAACGTTTCATTTTTAAGATTTACTTTTGATCAAAAGGGTTTTTTTATGATCCCTTGTTGAATTTCTGCAGCACCACATCAGCTCACCTTGAAAAAGTTCTCCCAGGTTTGTTTGCGTGCCTCTGCTCTTTCCTTTAGTTTTGTACCTGAGTGTAGATTTGAAGTTGTCTTCATGCAAATTGAGCAGTTCAATACCTCACTTTGTCTCCACTACTATGTGACCCATTTTCTCCAATTTTCAATTTGCTTGCCTGATCTTGTCCTTGCTGGCACTTCAAAATGTAAGTGATAAAATAGTGGCTCAGCTCTGTAAGATGTGCCCTCATGATAATCCCATCTCCCTCCCTTTATTTTTCTGGGTTCTGTTGTATTAGCATTACATTTTGCCTCTAGTTACTCAATAATTGTTGTTTTTATTAACCTACTTTTTTTTGCCCTCAGGTACAGGGGATGAATTCTTTGCTTCACCTTAATGACACTAATTTTATAGATCTGTTTTAGTATCTCCCTCCCTCAGTGCTTGGCTTCAGCAGTGCCAGATAGATAAGTACAGTATTATGTGGCAGTTTGGGTTGGCTCACATTGTTTGGGTGCTGCTGAGGTTTGTTTGGACAGGAGGAAATAAATGGTTTGCTGTTTGATTTTTAAACTTGTTTTTGTTTTAGATATCTCTCATTCTTCTGTGTTTTAAAAGCAAACATTACACAGAGCACTGTTAGTAGGTTGAATTAGAGCTATGGATTTAGCCTATATTTCCCAGGTTAACAGAAATCTTTCAGGATGTGGCAAATATTTATAATTTTTTACCCTTTTTTGTGTTGTTCAGCCAAACTTCCATCGGCTAGAAGTTTATCACATACTAAATGCCCAGTCTATCAATGAGCACATCCAGTCTGGGTGTTGAGTGTTGCTCATTGCAGGGGGCAGGGCAAGAGGAAACTTAAACAATGGTGCATGAATTTCCTATTTTTATTATTCTCAAAATTTCTTCATCTTTAGAAGAGGGGTTGTGGAACAAGAAATCCCAAGAATACTGGAAAATTTGGGACACTGAGAAGAAGTTTAAAATTATGTGAGCTAAAAAGTTGTTCATATGGAGTGTACTTATAGCTGAGTCTACATTCACACTCCTGAAGTTTGAGACACATGGGGAAAAGAAACCGAAGGCACTTACCTTTTCAGAGTTTATTGCCATTTTTTCATCAAAAATTTTACTTTCTCACTGTTGCTAGTTCTTAGCAGCTCGTGTTTCCTTTTCATTCTGTTCTCTACCAGTCTTCCGTGTAAATATTTATTTAGGATTTTAATGTGTGTGATGCAAATTTTTATCAGCTGCATAGACCAGCAACAAAACCCCACAGCAACTCACCCAAACAAAAAAATACCAAAACCACCATCCCCGACCTGTTCCTCCCAGCCTCTATCCCTCGAAAATCCACCCCTACAAGCACATTTTAGTATGCCAGAAAAGAAAATCTGCAAAAAATACCATGAAAAATCAGGGGGCTGGTTTTGTGCATGTGGAAGTACCTAGAGTCACATGTGTGTACAAGAGGAGGCAGCACAGATACAGAAACCTTGTTCTTGGAGATGCCCTGAGATCTTTATGTATCTCACTTTTCCACTGGAAGAGTTTCTTACAAGTGGAAGAAACTCAGTGAAAGTGTGCTTTTGCTAAAATACAAAGAATTCCTAATAGCTATAAATCACTGTGGTTTAGATTCCAGAGAGAGAACCAGGACATTTCAAATTAAGCAGAAATGGGTATCCTCTTGCATAAATCCTGTTGGCATGTGTCTGCATAAATGAACAAATGTCTAGCTAATGCTAAATAATGCATGCATCTTGGATCAAAGAGATGCTTAACTTAGCTTCATTTGAGCTCAGAAGGAATTGGCAAAGGACCTGGGAATGTTTGATTGATAATTTTATATCTATGGATAGGTTATGAATATTTTATATACTCTTCAAACTTTTTGGGGTTGCTATCTATGTATTTAATGTTTCCGACTTGTTTTGTTAAAGTAATCAGATAATGAAGGTTGTAGTATTTCAGTCTGTTTTACTCAGCTGTTTTCACTTAATCAAAGGTGTAGCATAGCCAACTAGAAACTGCTTTCTATGTGTTGTTATCCCTTCAGGGTTCCTGTAATTCTATTATTCTCTTAAACAGTGGGAGAAGTCTGTGAGGAAAAAAATCTATTTCTAGCCTTAAACTTTTCTTCACTATTTCAGTTTGACTGACTTTGGGCAATGGGCTTATTCTTAAATTAATTCCTACTTAATTATTCTAGATTTGTTTTTCTAGTGTATTTTCTATATTAAAATTTGCTTCCATGTTAGGAATTATTAAATCTAAGAATGAAAAGAGAAACATTACAGTACATTACAGCTGCTTTAGGCTATGCTCTTATAGTCTAGAAAAAGCTTTATTAATTGTTACTCATTTCATTACATAAGGCACAAGGCACACAAAACC